CACAGACAATCCTTTGAAACCATTTCCTCATTGCCTCAAGACGAATTGCCGGCAAAGGAAGGGGGAAGGGGGAAGGGGGAAGGGGGGTTGCTGCTCACAACTCCTTTGATCCTTTTAAATGTGAAAAGCCACAGAAAGAGCAGAGCTGTAGAAATACACAACTGCTTTCTTCTCTTGAACGGAGATACATGCAAACAACCTTAACGACCTGTTTTGAAAGTGGCTGAAGAAGGCTAAACTTTTCCTGAGATAGACAGCACAATATCTCTTTGACTTAAACGTTGGCTTGTAAACAGCTCCTAATGCAAATTTAGCAGAAGCATCCAAACAAACACAAGGCACTTTATAACTTTACTTCTCTTTAGTTCAGAATCAAATGTGGAGATACTTTGAATTTACTTTGCAGACGTTGAATGAGAGATTAATCCCAGAGATTACTGTTGCAGGCAATTGAAGGAATTTAGCCACATTCAATTACTATTTGCTTTTACAAAGCTGATATGAACTCTGAGCATTCTTTCACATGCAAGAGAATCTTTACTTTGCTTCTTTAAACTGTTGCAGAAAATTAATCCTATCAATTTACTGTTCTGACCCAGACAGAACAACAGAACAACTTGCTTTTCTTGGCAGAACAACTTGCTTCTCTGTCCAATCTAGGGCAGACAGACCACTCAATAGAAATGATTATTAAACAGATAAATGTTTATTCAGAGGAATACTTGCTTTTACGATGTTGCTTCTGTATATTACTGTATATTCCGGCGTACAAGACGACTTTTGAGAGCGTTGAAACAGCCTCCGAACTCAGGGGTCATCTTATACGCTGAGTCGTCTTATACGCCGGAAATAAGGTAGTTTCTGGCGTATAAGATGACTTTCTAGGCATGCGACTCAGCGTCGATCTTCTTGCGACTGGGCGTCGATCATCTTGTGACCCAGCCTCGAACTCGGGGTCGTCTTATATGCCAGGTTGCCCTATACGCCGGAATATACGGTACATCTCTTTGTTCATTTCCATAGTTAAATTTATAATGGATTTTCCTCTCTTCCTCTGCACAAGCATCACATATTGGCATAAGCACAAGATCTCCAAGCTGTGTGTCTAGGGGCCATGAGGCTGGATGAACAAAGGCATTCCCCTCAGGCTTGTGTCCAAGAAGTCTCCCAATGCCCTTTAGAAACTCCTCCCACTGACCCATTAACAAACCAGCACTTAACCCAATAACTGCCAGATATTCTAACATACTGATATATGCTCTCCAGTTAGGGAGGAAAGAGACAGGGGAGGAGATATGTCTTGAGTGTTGTTTTTTTTTTTTGATGCACCCTGTTGACCCAAATATGGAAGAAAGAAAATATATATATATATATATATATATATATATATATATATATATATATATATATATATATATATGTTTCATTATGAATTCATTTTAAATCTTCTCTCAGATTTTAATGTATAGTACAACTCTTACTCCTCCATTAATTTTAATAAGTGTTGCTCTGATTGATATTTTTGTTATATATCACTGAAGATGGCTTACAAATGCCAGGTTTTCCCATTAACATGACAGAACATTCCACATTTAAATTATTTTATTAACATTTGAGAAATTGAAATTGATCTGCTTCATTTGTTAATTTACAAGGTTATTAATTCAAATGCCATTAAATCCATTTGTTTATTTAAAACATATTAAAACATTGCCCTTTTACTGTTGATTTTGAAGATAGAATCAAATAAAGATGAAATTATAAAATAAGCTAATAGTTTTGAATAAATAAAATATTTTTCACTAGATATAAAAATTTTGTTCTGTAGTCATTGGGTGAGTCATCATTAGGATGGATTCAGTATTCTACAGCTGGAGAGTGACAGTGCCAAGAATGCTGTTCCTATCTGTTAAAGTAGGCTTCAGCAGAATAATTGAAGCAAAATAATATTCAGTAATTTGATGAGCTGCCAGGATCACAGTTATATTAGATAAGATTATGAGTGAAATCATCCTTATTCTTCCCCTGATTACATATGGCAGTGACAACATGGGGAGACTTGAGAATAACATGAACTTTTATGACTGCCATAATATTTATTTTCAAAAAGGCCAATGTTCCTTCAATGTAGTATTAAAAAATAAGTAATAATGATTCTGTAGCTGAAAAAAAATCTGTTGCTTTTTTATAATAATTTTACAATTAAAACTAATAAAAACTACAAAAGATAAAAAGAAAAAAATAGAAAAAAGAAAAAAAATTGAAGAAAGAAAAAAGAAAAAGAAGTAATTTTCCCCTTCTTCCCAGCAAGTATATACAACTGTAACAACTGATTAAATTATTTAAAGCATAACAAAAAATCTTTTCATCCCATATCTCAGCTCAATAAATCTCAATAAATATATCTATAAATTGTCATCCATCTCAATCAGCAAAAGTCCATTAAAGGCTACCAGAAATAACCTCATATTTATTATAAACTTAATCTAATAAAGCCAAAATTTCCTTCTTTTACATTTATATCTCCTATTCAATTCTTAAACAAAATTCCCATACCTCATCAATCAAAATATAATCAATAAAAAAACCAACAAAGGTTTTTATATAAAGGTTTCCAGAAATGATACAATAACTGTTTTAAATTTAATCGAAAATTTTAGAAGGCAACAAATAACCTCTTTTGTATATAACTCTTTATTAATAAAACGAAATCTTAAAAGATCATCTTCCAATCTAATCAGAGGAAATTGAAAATTATCATAAATGAAACTTTTATCTATGAAACAAAACCTTAAAATATCATCTCACAGTCTTAGAAAAATCCATGAAAGATTACCAAAAATAACAACAACCTATCTATTTTAACTTTGGCCAAATAAGCTCATTTTAGGTTTCTTTTCCCTTACTCAATATAATGAATGCCCTGGAAGCTGGCTTGGATGACGAGGAAGAGCTGGTTTCAGGACTTTCGCTACGAGGCTTGGAGAAGCAACTGGAGGACACGTGTGACCCTGAACCAGGAGGGGGATGGGCAAGAGAAGAAGGTGGCACAGCAGTTAGAATGCGGTACTGCAGGCCACTTTAGCTGACTGTGTTCAGCAGGTCAGCGGTTCAGATCTCACTGGCTCAAGGTTGACTCAGCCTTCCATCCTTCCGGGGTAGGTAAAATGAGGACCCAGATTGTTGGGGGCAATGTAAATATATATATACATTGCTTACTGGTGTACACCGCTTAGAGAGTGCTTGCACTTAAAGCGGTATATAAGTCTCATAAATAAATAAATAAATAAATAAAAGTTCAGGAGCCTCAGAATGGCTGGAGGACTGACTGGAAAAGTAGCTGGCTGACAAAGAGAGGGAAAGAAACAGCTGCAGCAGGAGGCTTGGAATACCAGCCAGAATCAGGGTGGAGAAGGGATGCAGCTGCAGCTGGTCAGTGGGGATGAGGAGGAACTGCCTTCTCCATTGGATCTCGGGGCACATAGGGCTGAGAAGAGGGAGGCACAATGGAAGTTTATGAGGCTACTCACGAGGAGGCAGTATTGTCCCTCCTAATGAGTTGCACTGGCTAGAAGCTATTTAGACCAGCAAAGTGATACTGGGAATCAAAGTGATACTGGGAACAACTCATCTCTTTCTTTCTGTGGGTTTGTTCAGCCATTGTGACCCTTGCCTTGAGACTTAAACTTTGACCCTGTTACAGTACTAGACTTTGGACTTTGCTTCTTGGATCTTGGACTTGGATTTCAGTTTTGTGATTTGTGCTCAGACCATGGATTTGTCTTTTGACTTTGAACTTGGTGGGTGACATAATGGACTTACTCTGTGTTTCTGGACTTGGGAATTGGACTCATTGGATTTTGTGCTGGGTCCTAGAGAATATTTGAGGCTGTTGAAGCCTCAATAAAGACTTCAAAACCTCATGGTATGTGTGTGTGTGAGCAGGACAGGTCACTCCAAAATATCTTGATCTTAAGCCCTCTCAAATAATGCCATGACATATGGTTTCTTTTCATTTTTTGTAAGCTCACAAAATTACCAAAAACATGAATGTCCCCTTTGTAAAGCCCATATAAAAAAGTTGTACAATCTACTCTTCTGGTCTATTATTCACATGTCCTTTTTAATTATTTAAACAGCAGCCAGCTTCATTTGTCAGGTCAGGTCAGTTCACTTTGTTCCATATCCTTCTTACAGCCTGTCATTTTAAAATCCACATTTAAATCAATTTCATTCTTGTCAATTGAAATTTGTTTCTTTTCCATAGCATCATCTACTCTTTCAGTAATGGCAGAAATTTTTAAAAGTATCTTCTGAATCATTTTTTACACATGTCCAACCTTTAAGTATCCAACTTATCACTTTATATTTTTTTCTGAAGGATGTAAATATCCACAGTTTCTCATCAGAAGAGAGTTATAATTAATTTCAAACATTTATTCCAAATGTATCTGAACCTTTAGTCCATGTTTAACTTTCTAAATGCAACATTCTAAATACAACTTTTACTGTATTCCAAAAAACAATATTTTTCCAAGTCCTTAAAATCATATTTAAAACTTTCACTGAGGAGACTCAGCCAGTGAACACTGTAGAAACTTGCCAATCTGAAGGGTAAGAAACAAGGATCGAACTTTTTGTCCTTAAAAGACTGCATTACGATGGTATCCTGCAACTTCTAGCTATTCAAGTCCTAAGCTGATAGTAAAATAGTTACTGCAGCCTATTTATGAGGAGCAACTCTCTGGGGGTACATATGGGTTGCCTCACAATCTCTCCGTTTCCTGGAGAGATTTCACTTGTTAGGATCCAGCAATCACGATCTCCATTGTAAAGCCAATCTCTTATTGGCAGGACATCTAGCTTGCTATGATGCTCACTGATCACATCATTGACCAAAAAAGTAAATAAATAAACTTCTTGCAATGGAAATAAATACCAAATAATTTTTTATTTTCGCATATTTGGTTACTATTCTATAAACAGTTTCTCATCTATAGGCTAAAGACACACTATGCATTGTATGAGCCTATGTTAAGACAGCTGAATGAAAAGTATGAGATTCTACTAAGAGAGAAAATGCTTACAAGTTTGGAACGAGACAAAGCTGTTGGGCAGGTATGGAAACTATTTTAAATATTATAATATATTATTTAATTTAATATTTTAGTTAAAGTTTTATTCTGTGCCATTCCTCAGAATTCAAGGTGGGTCACAGATACAAACCAAAGTTAAACAATGCACACCAAAGAGTTTGTTGTTGAATGTGGCATTAAGTATGCCAAGAAGTACAGATCTTCTTTCTTTTAAATTGTAGGTTTTTCTCTTTTTCTAAAAAAGAATGACTTGGGGAAGGAGAAGAAAACTAGTTGAAATACACAAATGACCTTTTGTTTACAATTGTAGCATCTCAGGCCTTTATTTCTTAGTGTGAAGTGAAATTTTATAATTTGACATTTTAAAGCAGATTCTCATTAAAGGTAACAGTAATAAGCAATTATTTTTTGGGTAGAATATACACCTTTCTTTTCATATCTTAGTCCCTAGCATCACAACATTCATAGCTATCTACCTGTATTATTATAGATCAGACATGTCAAACAAAAGTCCCGGGGGCCGGATACAGCCCGCAATGTGGTTTCATGTGGCCTGTGAAGCCATCCTGGAAACAGTGATGGAATGGCCCCCACTGCCTTGGGCCCGGCCCAGGCCGCCCGGGAGCGAATGTACAATTTTGTGGTAGCCATCTATGCTGAAACTCATTCAGTCTTAGCTTCACAAGGCCACCTGGAAACAGCAAGGGACCGGCCTCTGCTGCGTTGGCTCCGCCCCCTGGGCAGGTGTCACCCTTTGTGAGGAATGAAGAAATACACCATCTCCTGGAAGTGGCCAGCAAATGGCCCTCACCTGCTTCACATATTTGGCTTGATAGGATCCGGGAGAGGGGTTTCAGCAGGCTCTTCCAGTGAACCATGCTTTGGCGCTTGCCCTGGTCCTACCCCCTTCTGCCAGAGACCCTTAGATCTGTCCCACTCCTGCCCAGGCCCCCACAGACACCTTTGACGTGAACGATGTAGAGCTGGCCATGCCCACCCAGTAGACCACACCCACTCCAGCCACGCCCACCCAGTAGGCCATGCCCACCCTGGCCATACTTACCCGGCTCCCCGAGAACAACCGCAATGCTGATGCGGTCCTCAATGAAATTGAGTTTGACACTCCTGTTATAGATGGTGTGCTTATGTGTGTGTGTATGTATATGAAAACACATGGCAATAATAGTTTGCTCATAGGTCAAATATTGTTTGCTATTACTCACCACGGTTACACTATGAGTAATATTTCCATGTTTAATGCATACTTCTCAAATCCATAAATCCAGAGAAAAACTACTGCTAATTATTATTCTTTTTACTGAGGCCCTTCTATTATTCTTTTCTAATTCCTTCCACTGAGGCCTTAGGAAGTTTTGATGGAGTGAATGAAGAAGTCTTTTCTTGATTTAAAGTGTTTTGAAACTAATTATGCTCTATTGTAAGTAGAACATTATTTTAAATATAGAAGCAGAATTCACTATTCTCTATTATGGTTTGTTTGAGTATAAACTAATTGAAATAAATTGAAATATGTTAGGCATAAGTGGCATCATTTTGAGATAAGATGTGAAAGAAGGGGTGAGGACATTAATATAATAGTACAGAATCATAAAGTTGGAAATGACTGTTTAGTCCATCAAGACCAAAGCCCTGTTCAGTGCAGGAATCCAATTAAAGCATCCTGGACAAGTGGTTAATTAGATTCTGCTTCATGCATCTAATGAATGGGAGCCCCTCACCATACTGAATAACTGTGATTACTGTTTCTAGTATTGAGTCAGAATATAATATAATATCTTATATTATAATATAAATTGACTATCCCATGTTCTGCTCTCTGGAATGAGAACAAGCAGGTATTTCTGATAGTTGAAGAGCTGTTGAACATTTGCATCATCTCTTTGCATCTTTGCATCTATGAACCTATTTGACTGCTAGGACAAACTACCACATAAATTTCTGGTAACTGCATTTTTTCAGGGTATTTACAGATAGATTGCTTTATGATCTGGTCTAGAATATTCTTAATATATTAATACATTCTCAATATCAGTTTTTGGTTTGCTGCATCTTCCTTTTCTCCCACGTTGAAGGTAGAGACATTATTTGCTTCCATTCATAAGCTCTTCAGTCTACTTCAACATCTTCATAAATGACCTAGAGCACGGTTCCGCAACCCCCAGACTGCGGCCTGTTCCAAACTGGGCTGTGCAAGCAGTGAGCACATCTCTGATGCAGCTCCACTTGCATGAGCAGCAGTTGCTTGTGCTTGCATTGCTCACACAAATGGAGCTGTGCACATGCATGTGGGCGGGCCTGCCACTCGCATGGAACCTTGCCCTCCCCCTTCCCACCCTGGACCGCCAATCCAGAATGGCTGGGGACCCCTGACGGAGAGGAGGGGATTGTCTGGGCAATCATTTGTCTGGGAGGGAATCAGGACTCCTGCCTTGGGCAGGGAGGTTGGTTTAGAAGCTCCCAAGGGACCCTTTAGCCCTATGATTCTGTTTCTATCCAGTCATGTATGCCATTTTCCAGTTTTCTTAGAGGTAATACATAAGAGTTTAGTCACCATCACCTCGGTCTCCTAAGATAGTTCAACTGGTTCTGTGAGTTAACATTTTAACTCTTTTAAGGATGTCTTTAAACTCTTTAAAGAATGTTACACATAAGATGTTTTTTTATAATCTGAAAATTAAGATTTAAACTATAGAATAGTATATGGAATAAATCAACAAAGATGTTTTGACTAAGTATTAGAAGAAGCTTCTAACAGAATAGTTTGATAATGAAGCCAGTTATAGATGGAGGGGGATGATCTCCTATTTGCTGAATCTCCAACAAAGGCTGGACAGCCATCTATTAATTCTTTAAACTGGATTCCTGCATTGATCAAAGGACTAATAACTTTGCTTAATAACTAAATGGCCTTTTCAAACTCAACAATTTTGTAATTGTTTTCCCAGTGCTGAACAGAATGTGATCAGACATAGCTCCTTTGCAGTTGAGATTTGGCAGACAGAAACAATTTATGTTCAACAATGACAGGTCTCCAAGGTGTTCAGATGCACGCAAACAGGAAAGAATTATAGGTTCCATTATGGCTTTTTGATTCCAGGAAGATTACCATATTTACATCTTAGGGTTCTGTTCAAAAGTGACAAATTCTTTTTGCGTGAAGGATGATGAAGAGAGTCAGAAACTGTTACTGTTTCTTTCTTTCTATGCCATTGGAAAATTTTAATCTGGATTGATTTTCTGAAGTATTAAGATGTTATATGTAATCTGATATAATGCGTATTCTGAGATTCTCAACTATATTGAAATATTGTATACTTAATGTCATACATTATTTCTGATTTTCTAAATGGAAGAAACGAAAGGTTGTTGATAGACTTTTCTTTCATTTCAGATTACTGGCTTGCAAGCAACTTTACAAAGCTTGGAATCTGGAAACAACATTCACATTCCTGTGATGAAAGGTAAATATTTAGCTATGAATCAAAAGTAAAATCTTAAGAGATAATGTTTGTATCTCGTGGTATTATGCACATTTCTAGAAATTTAACATTTCTCTACATATTATACACAGGCTCAAATGGTCTAAAACTAATGCTGTTTTATACTAAATTATACAGAAAATCTCAATGAATAAGCTAGGATATTGGGATCCCCAGCATCTATGTCTACATTTTTTGTAAAAAAAGAAAGTTTGTTGAGGGCTGTGCATGATTAGAGACTCCTGAACTCTATATCCATTAGACCAGTAGTTCTCAACCTTTTTAATGCCGCGACCCCCAACCGGTCGTAAGTCGAGGACTATTCAACTGGTCGTAAGTTGAGGACTACTCAACTGGTGCAGCACCGTTTGCAGAATGGGACTTTTGGCGGGCTCAGCAGGGCAGAGACAGCCGGGACAATTCCTATTGGCTTTTCAAAAGCCAATAGAATAAAAGGGAGTAGCACAGCTAAGGAAAAGGGGGGAAAATGGCGGACTGCATTGTTTGGCGACCCCCGTGAAATGGTTGTTCGACCCCAAATGGGGTCCCGAACCACAGGTCCCAACCCACTGCATTAGACTATCACCCACTACTTCTTGTTTCAGATCTGCTGAGTTACCTTCAAAAGATACTGTGTTTTTGCTATATTGGTCTTAAGAAGAATGGATCTTAATAGTAGATATCCATAAATATTTAATAATTTTTGACATCCACAGTAATGTCCTATGGATTGGTTAATTTGAGGTTTTCTCTAGATTTCCAATATTTTAGATAAATGTATAGGTGTACTAGGATGACATCCTGACTTTTTTCATCATCCTTACATGAAATTCATATCAGAAATGTATTAGAATTTCTTCACATACCCAGTCTTTTTTTTTTTTTTTTTTGCTAAATTGGAAAAATGCCTGTTGGAGCCCAATAATCCAAATAATCCATATAACCATTTGGCTCATTTGGGTTATTGGATCTCTGCAGAATAAGTACAGATAAATCCTGCTAAGGTGCAGTATGCTTTCACATGACAAACACCTAAAATGTGAAAAATATACATTGTTTGGAGAGCCTTGCATTTTTTATAAAAAAATTCATCCCTAATTTTCCAAAATGCACAAGACAGCTCAGTAAACCTCTGATAAAATGGAACCAATTGAAATGATATCCTGAAGAGCAAGCCATCTTTCAGGGTTTGAAAGATCTCTTTTAATCTCAGCTGCTATTTAGACATCTGGATTCCAGTTGCCCCTTTGTTGTGCAAATTGATGTCTTGACCTTGCTTTGGAATTGTTTTTCCTTAGGCTTTGGCAAAGAGAGGAACAACCTCTTGTCTTGTGCATTTTATTCTAATCTTCTTTTCCCAGCTGAAAGGAACTATAATTTCAATAGAGAATTGCTGTCATTGTATTGAATGATGGAAGCATTTCTTGGAGTACACAAGCTTACAAGAATTGGGAGCATTGCAAAAGGTGTGAACCCTAACTTCATATCAGTTCAGTTTCCTGTTTCTCTTTTTATATCATTTATAGTATACTTCCTAGTTTCCCAAAACTAGGATGCACTCTCACACAACCTTGAATGCAATATTCTATGGCAACCACCTTTCTTGAAACTGATCAATTTTACCTCCATTCCAGAAAAAACACTCCTGAGAAGTCAGGGATGGGGAAGCAAGCAGTAGATCTTTTACATTGGATTTGTTTGCAATAACAACTGGATCCATATGTCAGGGCTCAGATGACCAACATCCATTGAACCCAAAAGATAGATTCTTTTTCTTTCACTGTGGCTGAAGGATAATTCTTTCATAATAGTCATTAATATGGTCCTCTTCTTCTCAGGGTGTTACATAGAACCATAGAATCCTAGGGCTGGAAGGGACCTTGGAGGTCTTCTGGTCCAACATCCTGCCCAAGACAGGAATCCTTATACCATCCCAGACAAATGATTGTCCATTCTTTTCTTGAAAACCTCCAGCAATGGAGCACCCACATCCAGGAGGCAAGCTGTTCCTTTGATTAATCATTTTGACTATCAGGAAGTATTTATAGGTTGGTTCTTCCTCTGACAAGCTTCCACCCACTACTTTTTATCCTGCTTTCAAGTGCTATGGAGTATAAATCAATGCTCCTTTCCCTGTGACAGCCCTTCCAATATCATGTTTCCCCTGAGCTTTCTCTTCTAAACATACCTTGTTCCATTAGCTGTTCATCCTTTGATTTAACCTGCAGACTCCTTATCATCTTTGTTGCTCTTCTCTGCATTCTTTCTAGGTCCTCAGCATCTTTTGTGTATCATGGTAACCAGAACTGGACAGAGTATTCCAAATGTGATGTCACTAGTACTAGCAGTACTATCACTTCTTGTGATCTTGATGCTATCCCTCTGTTGATTTATCCTATGATTGTGTTAGATTTTTTGGCAGCTGCAGAACACTGCTGGCTCATACTTAAGGGGTGGTCCATTAGTACACCTAGATCCCTCTCAAAGTTACTACTGCTGAGCAGGTACCACTTATTCTGTACCTATGCATTTGATTTTGTTCTATCTAAGTCCAGGACCTTTTCTCACATCTGAACTGTATCTTGTTGAATAGGGCCAATGTGCAAGTTTATCAAGATCCTTCTGAATCTTGAGTCTGTCTTCCTATCACAACTATAAAATTAATGGAGAATTTGTTTACCTGCTAGATTTTCATTAATTTAGTCATTCATCTTCTGAGGGATACCACCTGGGGCATTTGGTGGCTTGTTGTCACTAGCTTATTCAGAGAAATTATTTGATTCCATTCTTACCTTCTGCTGTTAGTCTAGGACAACAGAGCTGAAAGGAGACATAATGTGACCCATTCATCACATAGGGGAGTAAGGACAGAAGAATTGGGGGATGTTTGTTCAATACACTAGCTATTCTAACACTAGGCTAGAAAATTTGTGGGCCATTATGTTATGAGAATGGGGGCCTGATGGCTCAGCAGATAAAGATGCTGAGCTTATCAGCTGGAAAGCTGACAGCCTGAGTTTAAGACCTGAGCATTGTGCAGTGGGGAGAGCTCCCTTTACTTGCTGCAGCTCCTGCCAACTTAGCAGTTTGAAAGCATGCAAATGCAAGCAGATAAACAGTTACCACTTCATTGGAAAGGTAACAGCATTCCATGTGCTCTGGTCTATAGTCATGCTGGCCACATGACCATAGAAGTGTCTTCGGATAATGCTGGCTTCCCTGGCTAAGAAACGAAGATGAGCACTGCCCCCTAGAGTGGGACACAACTGGACAGGGGAAACTTTTATCTTTATTTTATGTTATGGGAATTCAGTCATACATTGGCATATTGCTTGTACATAATATGCTTTATTTGCATGGATGCCAAATCGTGAACCTATGAATTATATTCTGTAATACATCTGTGTAGATATTGCCATGTTGTATGCACCTACCCATAATAGATTTTGAGGTGGTTCCACTATTATTAATATCTCCTTGCCTAATATTTCTTCTTTTTTAGCTTTCCTTTTATAGTTTTTAATCATGAATATTGCTTTACTATTTATTAATTATCTGTTCTTTAGCTTTATTTTATGACACCCAGAGTCACTTGATTGTGAGATGGAGAGCTACATTAAATTGACAAACTAACAAACAAACAATCTTATTTTTTCTAGTTGGTACTAAAATCAAGATTGGATTATGTTCTGAATAATTGGATTTATAATACTTATTTAGATCTCAATACAACTCAGATTTTCTATAATTTGATGGAAAAGAAATTACAATTTCTATTGTGGTTTGCCATTCTGGGAATCAAAAAAAAATGTTATGTCTAAATGGGCAGTATAAAAAGAAGTTCTTAAATAATTGAAATAATGTTCTTTCTATTAAATTTCTATACTCCTCTGTGATAAATTGTTTGTCCTTTATAGTAGGTCATTGGTGTGATAGAGAGGCTGGATTAGAGGGACCGTCCCAAAGAGCACTTAGAGAAGCCAAGGAACAGAAAGTGCATTCTGATGTTAATGCACATGATTCAACCAAAGATCCCGCAAAACAGATGAGCAAGAAATATCCAGCGGTATGAATGTTCTTATTTGTATATTTATTTTAGAAGTTTATAAGGCTATCCAATGAGTCCGGATAAGACATAATAAATACAATCCAATACAATTAAAGCAAACAAAAAACCATCAAACACCATAAAAAGTAACCATTAAAATACAATCAAACACACAGGATCTATTCACCCACTATAACCTAAAGCCTAAGAAATGAGGAGGTTTTCAGAGCTCTTTTAAACAATTGGAGCGAGATATATCAGAAGTGATGATGGTAGTGATATTCCAGTAATAGATTTAGAATTTGAACTAGTGACATTTACAATAGTAGAATCACAGCCCTGGAATTGGAATGAGCCATGTAGGCTACAACTACTGACTGGAACTGCCCACACAAATAGGAGTGGAATTACTAAAGAAGTAGTATAGATATTCAGCAAATATTATACCAGTAGGATTAACTACCTTTAGACACAGGACCAAGAGGGGTCCGTTCCATCAGAGTTCAGGTATATATGTAATCCAGGCAATATTTATTTAAAAAAAAATTGGGTCAAGAGAGGGCTTCTTCAAGAGAGGATGCACAACTACATCTTTAAGCACCATAAAACTTAACAAAACATAATAGTTTCCCTGATCATATTCCTCATAGTGCCCAAAGAAGCCAGGAAGGCCATGGATCAAACCTAAACGGAGGACTCTATTTTGCTCATTACAGTGGATTGTATCCAGCAGGAAAATATCTTTTTTTATTATTGGATGTGATTCAGCTCAACATTAGGCACACTAGTTTGTAACACAATTTCAGATAGTGTACATATTTTAATAATTCCGTGTTAAACAGTCTGTGGGGTGCTCAGATCCCACTGAATGGACTCAATAGCAGTCATGCTATTTCATGTAATTTCATAGGAGGGGTGATGAAATGATGGTGCTGATGAATCCCGACCTGCTTATCCATCTTCACTTCCCAATCTCCGAGATTCCTTTCAACTTTATGTGTAGTATAGTGGTTAAGTTATTTAATAGGAATAGAGAGGCCTAAGGTCTAACCTTTCCTCAGCCTTGGAAGCTCACTGGATGACTTTGGGCCCATCATTCGCTGTCAGCCCAGTCTCCCTCTTAGGATTGTTGTTGTGAGGAGAAATAGGAGGAGGGAACACTATGTATGTTGAGTCCTTGGCGAAAAGCAGACGCGAGAAGCAGTTGTAGTTCTCAGGTTTCCTTTTATTCTGTGTTCAGCTTACAAGTGAAGGCTTCAGCAACGCCCCAAAGCTCCTAGCCTCTTATATAGGCAGTTCCCGGGTAATTGTGTTACTTTTCCCGCGCCAGCACCCGCGCATGCGCACAGGCGCTGGCGACAGCCTGTCTGGTCCCGGGCAGCTTGCACCTGCCCGGGACTGCCTGCAAACGCCCCGAGCCCATTTGCAAGGCTCGGGACATAACACCCCTTTCCCCCGGGCTAAGACTACTACCAACATACAATTATTTCTTGATGCAGTGTTCTACTCCCCAGTGCTCTTACTGTTTACTGGCTTTTGTTTGGCCAGCAATGTTATGTAATCCTCTAAGTATTTAGGAGATTTCCTTGCTCTCTGTGACCGTCTCAGCTCTGGGTTTCTGACAGGTGTTTCCTGACTGAGGGGAGACGTGAGCCTGTTCTCCTTATCATGCCTTGGTGCCTTCCAAGGACTGTGCCCCGATGCCTGGCCTGCTTGCTCGCCCACCGGGCTCGTCAGGCCAGGGCTTCTGTCACTTTGTGACCTGGTTGACCTGCCTAGCTGTAGGCCCTCGGGCCCCTTGAAGTGATAGCCACTGCTGGGCGTCTCTATAGAACCTCCTAGGTCCGTCCAAGACCTGTCAGGAGGCTGTCCAATCCCTAAGCCCCGTTCTGTGTCCGGGCTCGTGTGGGTCTCTGTACCTTCCCAAAACTCAGTTACTCCCTGATTTGGGCTAGAGGTGTTGCGGTCGGGACTTGGTTCCTCGACCACCTCCCTGTAAGTTTGACCCCCTGTAGGACTTGGGGTAAGGTCAGGCCAACTCTGGGGATTATGTGCCAGCTCTCTTGCGGGGTATGATTTATTGGGATGCTCCCGGGTATCCTCCCTGACTGGAGTACTGTGCTGTGCAGGTGAATAGTGATTGTACCCCCGGGGTGACTCCCTGGCTGGAGTAGGCGTGAATGCCTGATAGTTGGATAGGCTCTTAGAATTCCTGTTTGGGGCACTCGCGGAATCTTGGAATGGGCCGTTTGTGGCTCCATGATTGGAGGTGGACAGCAGCTCGTGCCCCTCCCTTTGCTCTAAAGGGTCCCCCTCCCCCCCTGGAAAAGACCCAGGAGTCTCATCTGAAAGGTCCCGCCTAGGGCGGAGTTGGTCGATGTGCCGCCGCAGGACACGACCGTTGTCCAGGGCTACCTCGTAGGAGAGAGGACCTGTGACCCTGGAAATAGAAGCGGGGACCCATGTATGACCAGGCCCGTAATTGCGAGTCCAAACCGGGGCACCCACAAGTAGTTGTCTAGGTGCTCTAGGATGTGAGGTAGATGAAGGCAGTCTGTCCGGATGCAACCGGTCAAGCTTCGTAGTAAGTTTGCGCCCCCAGCGAAGTTCAGCTGGGCTTCTCCCTGTAGAAGTGGACGGTGTGGTGCGGTAAGAAAGGAGAAAGTCAGCCAACCTGTGATGCCAGTTCCCATAGGTGAGTCTTTTCAAGGCGTCCTTTGTGATGCGGACCATGCGTTCAGCCATACCGTTGGTGGATGGGTGGAAGGGTGCAGACGTGGCATGATGAATCATGTTAGCCTGTAAGAAAGCTTGGAATTCGGAGGAAGTAAATTGAGGGCCGTTGTCAGAGACGATGACATCTGGGAGCCCGTGTGCAGCAAAAATCCCCCTCAGTACCTGAATAGTCTTTGCAGTGGTGGTGGATGAGACAGGTACAACCTCAAGCCATTTTGAATGACTGTCAACGAGGACTAAGAAGAACTGGCCCTGAAAGGGCCCAGCGTAGTCAATGTGCACCCTAGACCATGGGGACTGTGTATCCTCCCATCTATGCACAGGAGCTTGGGGCATCTCTGGGCGAGAGCGCTGGCACAGGTGGCATGCATGCACCTTAGCCTCAATGTCCTTATCTAAACCAGGCCACCACAAGTGGCTGCGCGCAAGGGCCTTCATGCGAACAATGCCAGGATGACCCTCGTGGAGGGACTCTAAGATCCTAGTCCTCATTGAGGTGGGAATGACAACTCTGTTTCCCCAAAGCAGACAACCCTGAGAAGTGGACAACTCGTTCCTTTTGGACCAGAAACTCTGAAACTCAGGACTAGGGCAGTGCTCAGGCCATCCAGACAAAACCCAAGAAAGGACACGTGAAAGTGTGTGATCTGTGCCTGTTTCAGCGGCGACATCCCTGGCATTCAGAGGGGACTCGGGCAAGGCTTGGATGGATAGAATGTTGACAGCTGGCGCAGGGTCAGCTTCTACTACTGGCAGGGGCAATCTACTGAGGCCATCAGCATGGCCCATTTCTTTCCCAGGCTTGTGGAGTAAGGAAAAATCATATGCAGACAGAAAAATAGACCACCTAAGCATTCTAGGGGAAATGATTTGGGGAGTTTGTTTACGTGTGGTAAACAGTCCCAGCAGAGGCTTATGGTCAGTGAAGACCGTGAAATGCCTGCCATACAAGAAATCATGGAATTTTTTAATTCCAGCAACAACAGCCAGAGCCTCCCTGTCTATCTGAGCGTAGTTGCGCTCAGCAGAAGACAGTGTTCTGGAGTAATATGCAACAGGAACCTGAGTTCCATCAGACCTGAGGTGGCTCAGGACAGCTCCTACCCCGTAAGGGGAAGCATCACAAGCGATGCACACAGGAAGGGACTCATTGAAGTGTGCAAGTACACTGTTAGAAGTGAGTAAGGCCTTGACCTCATTGAAACTAGCCTCATGTGTTTGTGACCATTGCCACACTGCTTGTTTGTCTAATAGCCTGTGAAGAGGCTCAGCTACACTAGCTTTATGTGGAAGAAAGGAATTGTAGAAATTCAGGAGGCCCAGAAAGGCCTGAAGTTCGGCCTTAGACTTTGGCCTAGGTGCTTCTAAAATGGCAGTTAGTTTGGATTCAGCAGGGTGAATCCCAGCAGCATCAATTTTGAATCCCAGAAATTCAGTAGAAGGCACCCCAATTTTGCATTTGTCTCTTTTGAGCCTGAGGCCTGTTTTCCTGAATCTTAACAGAACAGCCCTTAGCCTTTCAGCTAGAATGTGTGTGGAGTCTCCTGCAATTAAGACATCATCAAAGTAGGGGCAAACCCCCGGTATGCCCCGTAGTGTGTTTTCCATTACGCTTTGGAAAATCCCAGGAGCGACATTCACTCCAAACTGTAGCCTTTTTAGCTTAAAGGCTCCCCTGTGGGTTACAATAGTCTGAGCTATAGCAGCAGCATCATCAACAGGCAGCTGTTGATACGCTTGAGCTAGGTCAAGCTTTGCAAAAACGCGCCCCCCCTTGAGGGAGGCCAGAATATGACTGACCACAGGAACAGGATAGGCATGTTGCTGCAATGCCTTATTAAGAGTGCATTTGTAGTCAGCACAAATGCGAATGTCCCCATTTGCCTTTAGAGGCGTGACAATGGGGGTCTCCCAGGGGCTGGAATCAACAGGTTCTAGGATTCCCTGTTGGATCAGTTTGTCTAACTCAGTGTCAATTTTACTCTTTAAAGCAAAAGGGACCCTTCTTGCTTTAATTCTAATGGGTGTGACAGTGGGGTCTAGTTTTAAGGACACAGGAGGTCCCTTGAATGTGCCCAGCTGGGGGCTGAAGACATCTGCAAATTCTTTGCAGACTTCCTGTAGGTCAAGTGTTTGTAAGCTGTTGAGCCCCGTGACATGTATCCCCAAGGCTTCAAACCAATCGAGTCCTATGAGACTCGTTCGTTCACCCCCTACTACTAATATGTCTAGTGGACCTTCAAAATTCTTATACTGTACGTTAAGGGTGGCCTCCCCCTTAACACACACTCTCGAATTTTGAAAGTCTGTTAACACAATGTCTGAAGGCCTTAATTTAGCCTGAGTTCCACTGCCGGAACAAATCTTCCTAAATGTATGTAAGGAGATGATTGAAAGGGCAGACCCCGTGTCTAGTTCCATAGTTAATGGAACCCCTTGTAGCTTCACCTTGAGTGACAGCTTTTTCTTGATGGGCTTGTGTGTGCCTGTCCTGAAGATGCTTCTTCGCGAAGCGCAAAAACCTACCCTATTCTGGCTGGGGACCCTGGTACCTTTCAGGCGCAGTTCTTCCTGAGGTTGTACCTTTCGTCGGCCCAGACACACAGCTGCAATATGTCCTTGTTTCCTGCACGCCCGGCAAATAGCGGTGCGGAACTTGCAGTCCGTTCTCCTGTGGCGACCTCCACAGCCGATGCACTTGAGGGGAACTGCAGAGCTTCCTTTCTGATTCCCTTCCTTCGTGGGGTGGAGACGGTCGACTTCCTCGTCCGGATCCTCCTCGGAGTTCCCTTGGACGTCCTCTTGGTGCACGGATGCAACATCTGGACTGTTCCTGATTGGCCGCATGTTTTTGACGGCGCCGCCTGCTGCTTCTTCTGCGGTGACCTCTCTTAAGGCATCTTGGAAGGACAATTCTTCTTTGGCGAAAAGCCTCTGTTGTAGATCTCGATGCCTTAAGCCGCACACGAATCGGTCCCTCAGTCGTTCTTCGAGGTCCTTGAACTCGCAGTGCTTGGCGGCCTTCCTCAATGCGGCGATGTATTCTTTGGCCGACTCTCCGGATCGTTGATCCCTCTGCTCGAAGGTGTGGCGCCATGCGATGACGGACATCTTGGGCTGGAAGTGCTCCTTCAATAGCTTCTTTAGATCTGCGTAGCTGACAGACTCTAATGGGACAGGTGCTGCAAGGTTCTCTGCGATTTCGAAGGCGTCTTGACCGCAGACACAAAGCAGGGTGGCAGCCTTCAAGCTATCTTCCCTCACTTGGTTCACCTTGAGGTAATTTTCCACCCTGGCTACGTAGGACTCCCACCACTCTGGATGTGAGACGTCGAACTCCGAAAGCCTTCCAACCTTTGCCATCTTCAGGAGACGGGTCTATCAGCCAGCCTACCCCCGAATGCGCACTGGATTGGTGGGTAGCTGCCGAGTCAACGCCGTTCCGTCGTTCCGCTGCTCAGGACTCACTTGGGTAAGCTTACACCTCTTCCTTTCCAAGCGATGTAAGGCATCCCACCTTTGTCGCCAGTGTTGAGTCCTTGGCGAAAAGCAGACGCGAGAAGCAGTTGTAGTTCTCAGGTTTCCTTTTATTCTGTGTTCAGCTTACAAGTGAAGGCTTCAGCAACGCCCAAAAGCTCCTAGCCTCTTATATAGGCAGTTCCCGGGTAATTGTGTTACTTTTCCCGTGCCAGCACCCGCGCATGTGCACAGGCGCTGGCGACAGCCTGTCTGGTCCCGGGCAGCTTGCACCTGCCCGGGACTGCCTGCAAACGCCCCGAGCCCGTTTGCAAGGCTCGGGACATAACAATGTATGCCTGAGTTCCTTACAGATATTATCTTGCTTCCCAGGATGTAAGAAATATTTCAACCCTCTTTGTTTACATAATAGATAGAAACAATTTTCATTATCACACTGAATGGAAAATTGAATATTAATGTAATTCACAAAATGTATGTCATTCCATTCTAAGATTCCATTGAGTAGAGACAACCAACAAACCAAACAACAATGGAAAGCACTTTTAATAAGCCTATGAATAAATATGTTTTAAAATTGAATGAATATCATTAGTTAATTATATTTTTTCTTTCTTTATTTTGATTTAAGGATTCAGAATTTCCTGAAGGTATCCAAGTAAATCCATACCTTGCTTGTGCAAAAAAATGTGTACGGCCATTGAAGTCTGGAATATATAGACTGAGCAACACATTGAAAGTACATGATTTGGCAGTGACCTGGTAAGAGTTTTTACATATTTATTAATGATTTCATTTTATTGTTTAGCATTATAAATAAATATTTGTTTATTATTGGTTATCTAACGATGTCAATACAATGATTTACATACAAGATTTTTATGTGAATGTTACATTAGGCAAAGTAACCTTGAAGAAATTATGCTATCTGAAATCAATTTAAACAGTAAAGCTGTATTCTTCCTTGCAGTTGAGAATATAGAGGGTGAATGTTGGAACATAAGTCTTGGAAATATGAGCCTTTTTGCCTCTTTTGCAAAAGATTCTATATTCTTTAAAATGGAAAGCAGTTGTCTATCTCTCAGTTATGACAATATTTGATACTTTATCATTCCTCTATAAATGACTTAGTAATTTATCACAGTAGTTTTCTACAGTTCAAATTAAGAGCATGTTTAGTAGAATTTTCTAACTTTCTTTGTCTACTGACTCACATTTTTTTTTTAATGTCATCAAAATCATTTGTACTTGAAGGAAAGAATAAATAATTAAGTGCTTGCCAGAGAGCACTGTGCGTGTTGCCTGGAATTGCTGAATGAAAGGCAGGATGGAAATCTTGTAAATAATATAAATGTGAATTTAAAAGAAAAGGCTTACAAATATATTATCATTTTATTATGTCAGCTTTTCACAACTTTTTTGGTTGGTCACAGAACAGTAAAATGAAAGGAATGGCTACCTGCCATTAAGGAAGCCCAAGGAAAAAGGACAGTTGACTGCATTAACTAAACAAATAGTAGCTAGATCCTGTGGCAGTTGTTCTGATCAGTCTTTGATTGGTCTCAGTCATTTAGTTGTTTTTGTTGTTTCTGTTCTTAGGTTACTGTTGCTCTCTTTAGTATTCTAAATATTTATTGTATTTTATTTTCTTGTTTCTTACTTTATACTCCTACAAAATATAAGTCTTCCCGAGGCTCTTTCTGTGAAGTGGGTGAATAAACCTAATAAATAAACTCATTCATTGTTCACTCTTTCTACCTCAGGAAATACAACTTCATCTGAAGCTGTTTCTTCTGAATTTTTGTTTCTAGTCATCACAGAATTTAGTGTAATGCCCTCTTCATCAATTTTATCATAGTTGGGCCCAAAACATGTTACCAAATTTGCATAATGCAGTCACTTTCAAGCTTACTTTTCTTCTTCCAGAAAATGGTGATTATTGACGCATAAACCAAATTACTCAAAAAAAACATCATTTTTTGTAGACAATCTTTCAAATGCATTTTGTAGGGTATTTTTATTTTGTGTTTTTAACATCCCCAATATCCTGTTTAAAAAATCCTTTGGCTCTCTTGTGGGATATAGTAAAATTACCATTACAGTTCAGCTACCATTTTCAAGGAGGAAAACAATAATGGTACATCTACTGCAAGTTATGCACTGGCCTTCAGTACTATCAAAGTGACCAATGTGAGGCATCTTGAAAACAATGAAATTATTGGAAATCACTACAGATTTGTCAAGAGTTAACCATTCCAATTAACAGCATCTCGTTTTGCAATAGTGGCGAATATTTATAGCTTGGGTGTAGGATGAGAGTGAAGGTTTGTTCTCCGAGCTTATGGGTTGCTTTCCGAACATTTCGTTACCAGGCTAGGTAACATCTTCAGCAGAGTTTAGGGGATGTCAGTGTCAGTGTTCTTCTGTTTATAAAGACTTCATGTGGTCAGTGGGTCTTGTAATGAGTCCTGTGATGGGTCAGAAGTGGGTGTGTCAAGTGAGAGTTTTATAATGGGTCTTGTGATGGGGAGGTTACATCAGGTGAGGATCATTGGGAGGTGAAGTTCTGGTTGGGTGAGGCTTGCATGGATTGGTTGAGGGTTGGTGCTGTCTCTGGTTGACTATGGTTGATTTGGATTCTGAGGGGTTCGTAGACTGGTTGTAGGTCAATGTGTCTGTTGATGGAATTGCTTATAGAGTGCCAGGATTAGTTTTGGAGTGGTAATTGGCTGTGTGATGTGTTGGGGTTTGAGTGCTGTGTTTTTTTATGGTCTCTTTCAACATCACTGCTCTCTTAACCTCCATTAACGTCTTTCTGTATAACTGCTATCCAAAAAACTTATTCTGACACACAGCACCCAAACCACAAAGCCAACCCACAAGCTCGGAGAACAAATCTTCAACCTCATCATCTCATTTTCTAATTTAGTAATTTCTTCAGCAGATTACGGAAAAGTTATAGATACAGTGTAGCATAACAGCACTGGTGATATTACCTAGTTGGGTAATGAAACTTCTGCAAGCATAGAACATAGAATAACAGAATTAGAAGAGACCTTGGAGGTCTTCTAGTCCAACTCCCTGCTCAAGCAGGAGACCCTATGCTATTTCAGACAAATGGCTGTCCAGTTTCTTCTTTAAAAGCCTCTAGTGATGGGGCACCCACAAGTTCTGAAGCCAAGCCATTTCACTGGTTAATTGTCTTCACTGTTAGGAAATTTCTCCTTAGTTCTAGGTTGCTTCTCTCCTTGATTAGTTTCCATCCATTGTTTTTTTCTTCCCTTCTAGTGCTTTGAAAAATGGATTGATCCACTCATCTTTGTGGCAGCCCCTCAAATATTGGAACACTGCTATCATGTCTCCCCTGGTCCTTCTTTTCACTAGACTAGACATACCCAATTTCTTCATATGTTTTAGCTTCCAGTCGCCTAATCATCCTTGTTGTTCTTCTCTGTACTCTTCCCAGAATCTCAACAACTTTTTTTATATTGTGGTGACCAAAACTGGATGCGGTATTCCAAGTGTGGTTTTACTAAGGCCTTGTAAAGTGATTGTCAGCTCTGCCATCTTCAGCTTGGTGCCTCACTGGCATCCTGCCATCAACTGTTAGGGGGAGGGGAAGGAGAATAAAAGAGCAATAAATATGTATGGGGCTTAGATGGGAAAAGGGGGGGGGGGGAATGACAGTTTGACAGAGATTAGAGATGCAAGAAACCAGCCTGTGCTGATCTTCAGGGGCCCAGGGTAGGCAAGCTTGGCTCTTTTATGACTTGTGGACTTCATCTCCCAGAATTCCTGAGTCAGCATGGCTGGTTCAGGAATTCTGGGTATTGAAGTCCACGAGTCATAAAAGAGCCAAGCTTGCCTACCCCTGTTCAAGGCCATGAAGCTTGAAAATGTAATGTCGATTGCTCCAAACATCTGAGCAGTTCTCAAAACAGCTATATGGCTCATCATTGGCTGAAGACAAACTGGTCAAAAGGAGGGCAGGGATGAAGGAGAAAATTTTGTAACCTTTTGCATGGGGATTTTAGTTCTAGCCTACTTTTACTGCAGCCAGCAATTCTTAGTAAAAGAGCCTATCACTTCAACCAAATGGAGTTGGGGGTCTTTTTTCCCTAGGGTTCTAGCTGGGGCAAGTCTGACAATAGTAGTAATACTTCACGTGATCTTGATTCTGTCTCTCTATGAATGCATCCTAGGATTGCATTGGCTTTTTGGCTGCTGTCACACACTGTTGCCTTATGTTTAAGTGATTGTCCACTAGAACTCCAAGATCCCTTTCACAGTTAGTGCTATTGAGGCAAGTTTAACATAATCTGTACCTATACAATTGGTTTTTCTTGCCTAAGTATAAAAATTTAGTTTTATCTACATTGAATTTCATTTTGTTAGATAGAACCCGGTGTTCAAGTTTGTTGAGATCCATCTGGATCTTGAGCCTATCTTCTGGGGTATTAGCTGTTCCTACCAGCTTAGTGTTGTCTCCAAATTTGATGAGTTCTGCTTCTATTCCCTCCTTTAGATAATTTATGAAGCTATTGAAGAGAACTGGGCATAGAATGGAACTTTGGGGTTACCCAACTGCTTACTTCCCTCCATGTGGGAAGTTTTGTAAAGGACTGCACATTGATAATGGTTTGTCAGCTAGTTACAAATCAATATGGTGATGGTGCTGTCTATCCCACATTTTTCTAGCTTACCAAGAAGTAGGTGCCGGTTTATTTTGTCAAATGTCTTACTGAAATTTAAGTATACCACGTGCACAGCATTTTCCTGATCCAATAATTTAGTCACTTTGTTAAAGAATGAAATAAGATTTGTTTGGCATGATCTGTTTTTGACAAACCCATATTGGCTTCTGGTTATAACTTTATTTGCTTCTGAGTGTTCACAGATTTGTTGCTTGATTATCTTTTTTCAAGATCTTCCCAGGTATGGGAACAGGCTGAAAACAACAGATGGACAGGTCATAGCAGAGAGTTCTGACAAAATGTGATCCACTGGAGAAGGAAATGGCAACCCACTCCAGTATCTTTGCCATGAAACCCCATGGACAGTACCAAATGGCAAAAAGATATTACGCTGGAAGATGAGCCCCTCAGGTTGGAAGGTGTCCAATATGCTACTGGGGAATAGCAGAGGGCTAGTACTAGTAGTGCCAGAAAGAATGAAGCGACTGGGGCAAAGCCGAAAGGACGCTCAGCTGTGGATGCATCTGGTGGGGAAAGGAAAGTCCGATGCTTAAAGATCTTTTCTCCATAGGAATGTGGAATGTAAGATCCATGAATCAAGGCAAGCTAGACGTGGTCAAACAAGAGATGACAAGACTGAGCATCGACTTGTTAGGAATCAGCGAACTAAAATGGACAGGAATGGGTGAATTTAATTCAGAGGACCATCAGGTATACTACTTGGGCAAGAATCCCTCAGAAGAAATGGAGTAGCCTTTATAGTCAATAAACGATTAGGAAAAGCAATACTGGGATAAAATTCCCCAAATGACAGAATGATCTCAGTGTGAATCCAAGGCAAACTGTTCAATATCACAGTAGTCCAAGTCTATGCCCCAACTACTAGTGCTGAAGAGGATGAAATTGACCAGTTCTATGAAGCCCTACAGCACCTTATAGAATCAACACCAAAAAATGATGTCCTTATCATCATGGGGGATTGGAATGCTAAAGTAGGAAGCCAAAAGATAACTGGAATAACAGGCAAGTTTGGCTTTGGAGTACAAAATGAAGCACAGGCTGATAGAA